ATTTGGGGGTGGGAGTGTCTTGCACCATTTGGGGGTGGGAGTGTCTGCACCATTTGGTGGTTGATGTCTGCAGTATTTGGTGGTGGGAGTGTCTGCAGCATTTGGTGGTGGGAGTGTCTGCACCATTTGGTGGTGGGAGTGTCTGCACAATTTGGTGGTGGGAGTGTCTGCACCATTTGGTGGTGGGAGTGTCTTGCACCATTTGGTGGTGGGAGTGTCTGCACCATTTGGTGGGGGTGGAGTGTCTACACCATTTGGTGGTGGGAGTGTGTGCACCATTTGGTGGTGGGAGTGTCTGCACCATTTGGTGGTTGATGTCTGCACCATTTGGTGGTGGTGGAGTGTCTGCACCATTTGGTGGTGGTGGAGTGTCTACACCATTTGGTGGTGGGAGTGTCTGCACCATTTGGTGGTGGGAGTGTCTGCACCACTTTGTGGGGGATGTGTCTGCATCATTTGGTGGTGGGTGTGTCTGCACCATTTGGTGGTGGGAGTGTCTGCACCATTTGGTGGTGGGAGTGTGCACCATTTGGTGGTGGGAGTGTCTGCACCATTTGGTGGTGGGAGTGTGTGCACCATTTGGTGGTGGGAGTGTCTGCAGCATTCTGAGATACAGTGAATATTGATAAACACTTTATTGCCACAACAAAATCCTGCATACAGTGGACACAGAATGCATTTAATGTGCCACCTAATTAGTAAAAAATATTTAACTTTTATTAAAAAACATTCTATTTACAAACGATATTGCTGGAAACAATTTTCACAAGAAATTGCCTTGGGTTGGCGTTCCCCAGTACTGTGCACAATTATTTCAATATTGTATTCTTTTTTGATCATGTCTATACATTATTGAAATACTGAAAACTATTTACTGTGGTTCTTATAACAAGGAGCCACAGCAACTACAAAATTTGCAATAAAGGTAACACAGCTTTCATGTTTTTTACTGTCAGTGTCAAAAAGGTAACTAGTAGATCAAGGAGAAATGATGCAAAAATATGTCCTCCATATCTTATTACCTAATTTAGAAAAATATTTATTATTACATTTTTCCATGATTTTACTCATAATATTACTTATGTGTAATTTTAACTTGCTATATGAATGGCAGAATACTGTGATAAGTTTTCTTCTACTGGTATTTGTTTTGGATTTATTGCAATCGAATACTAAAAACAATTATGCTAAAAAAGATTACATCAAACTTTATCTTCACACCAAGATGAGATTTTAGTTAGATTTGAATTTGAATAAAAGCCCAAGGAACTTACTATTGATACTAATTTGTGGTGCTCAGCTGAAAAGCAGAAAACAATAGTGATTTGTGGAATTTAATCTCTTATTGCCAGTTATGTATACTTATGTTTAGAAACCAATGCCAGTGCTTCAGACTCCATCGATGTTGTACTTGCTTCCAATTCTGCAGTATCAAAGTGTAAATAACTTATACTCTGTTGTTGAATCTGTCGTTTGATGAGTATCCCTGCTGCAACGTAAAGGATGGAACACAGAAGATAACACGTTGGCACGACGATGAGGAGAGCATCTCCCATGTTGGTATGGCATTCATCATTCGGGTGAAGTAGTAGTGTAAGAATTGGAATCTAAGGGAGCATGTCAAAAAAAGAATCACTGTGATTTATAGAATCTACCAATCAATGGTGATTTTGCATTAATGTTACTTTGGATATTAACAACACTGTTATTATTTTTGTTTATAGATATGTGAAAATTCAGTCACTGATGACAAATCATTCATCTTGTTGTTTTGCACAACAAACCAGAGGTCCATAGTAATCAAAAACTCAATATTGAAGCAAAGTTTATTACATTAATTATTCTTACAAGTAATGGACCTAAAATTCCTCCTATTAGAGTATTGATAGCAATATAAACAGCAGATGCCTGGGCTCGGATATCTGGAATAAAGAGATCCTGAAATAGAAAATAATTGTATGTAAAATTTATCACGAGCAGTCTTTGTCTTAGAAATTGGATATCATTATTTGCATTGGTACAGTTTAACCCTTTGCAGTCACCATCTACAAAATAGTCTTATTTACATTTTAGTTTTATTTACATTGGCACTTTGCTATGAAAACAAACAATGACTTACTTCACTTTTCTAATTTTGAGGTTTGGTGATTTCATTCATGACAGATTTAAGCAATTATACCACCGTTACTAAAAGATGGTTAGGAAATGCTTTTGTTAAAAACTGTTAATTCGCCTAATACTTTAGAGATGCATGTCACCCTGTATATGTCCTCTATTGTCATGGTTGGGCTTTTAAGGTCCACCAATTTGAATCTTTGTTTGTGTTGATGTTGTATCTTCCACAAATTTAAAAAAAAAATCAGATAAATGTTTTAGTGTCAAAGTTCAATGAATATATGAACAACTCGGGTAAGTACTCTTTGTAATTGTGAAAATCTTCAGAATCGAGGATCAGCGGTTTTACTGTTGCTGTGCAAGTGGGTATAGGCTGAGTAGGAAATTACAAAATTTCAAACTCTGAAATCTTTGTTTTACGTAAAAAAAAAATACCAATGAATTTATACTACTCTTTTCTGTGTGTATTTATGATAGTTTTAGGTGATTTGGGGACTAATTTTAAACAAATTTATGCTTTTCTTCTCTTGCGTGGTGTCATTAAGTCACGACAATTTTTTAGATGCTGAAGAATTCGCTGAAAATATCTGGAAAAGCATTGCTATTGTCATAAAATGACTGTTTAATCATTCTTGTGTTCCATGGTTTTGTAACAACATAATTATTTTGCATTATTTAATGAGCCGTAAAGCTGTGACTTGAGCGACATGACAATTCTTGAACACAAAATTCCCTTGATCTAAATCTCCAGTAGCGTTTCTTCGGCGAATCAATTTTTCTAATCTTTTTAAAGCTTTGTTAATTTCTTTGAAATTGCCTGTTTTGGAATATTACATTTTCTCACATGCATGTCAGTTCATTTAACTATT